ACGTACACACACACATACACACACACACATACACACACACGTACACACACACGTACACACACATACACACACACACGTACCCACACACACACGCACACACACAGTCTTCCACTTTTGCACCCTTGAGGTCCATCTGTGGACCGAAGTTCGTAACTGGCTCTCTGTTTACTCCGGTGAGAATACCTGCGGTGATCTAACTAGTCAAGTCATTCTTTTGGAAGATTTTCTATTTTTCATTGTGTGTCTGTGTGGGTTTGTGCAGCTGCCCCCAGAAACCAGAGACATTAGATCCCCCTGGAGCTGTAGTTACAGGTGGTCATAAGACACCCCACGTGAGTGCTGGGGACTACACTCAGGTCCTCTGGAAGAGCAGGGTGCATTCTGAACTACTGAGCTGCCTCTCCAGCCCTCATTCAAGCCTCTCTGAAACCGTGCTGTTCCTCAGCTTTGGTGAAGCAGGCTTGACACAGTTATGGAATCACTGTCCTTACCTCCACCCATGCTGGTGGCCATGCTGAATCAGAGAAAGGGTTAATACTTGTAAAACGAGGGAGAATATTTCTTCATCACCTTGACCTGCAGATGTCGCTGGAAACAGACAGGTTCTGTGATCTCTCTCCTCTGTTGTCACTCCTACCTGTCGTGGCTAATGACTGTGACCTTCACAACCTTCCAGGCAGCCCATATGGTCCTGTGCTCATCCTAGCCACAAGCCACACCTGCTGGACAAGCTTGGATCTCATAATACTATTCCAAAACCTGGCCTCTCTCACCGCCTGGCATTGTGAGCCTGCCACAAAATCTGGCTGGCTTGTAATTTATTACTTAAACTCTTTTATTTGCCTGCAGGAGCCCTTTAACAAAATCACATTGAATTGACTTTCTCACACCAAATCAAATCTCCCTGGTCCCAGTTCAGTTGTCTTTGTCAATATGTATTTTATAAATGGAGTGAATTAACAGATGCTGTTGCGGCAGAAGTGCTGGGGTAGCGTTTATGTTTTTATGTCTCTCTCTGGGCAGATGAGTTGTGTAGGAATGTTATACAGGTATCTCGGGATGAAAGTCATCCCGTGGATATGTATTCTTAACCATTTTCTCTGAATCTATTTTAAATCTCTTTATTACCCATTTTCCCTTAGTGTTTTGCGTATATGATTTTATCACGTATGCCGTTAATCTGGGCTTGGGCTTGATGTATCCCTTAATATTAAAAGATGAAATTGGAAGTTTCTCTATCATTCTCAGAGGACAGGAATTTTTGGTTAGCCATGGAAAAGATCATTACAGGCCTTTGGAGCATGTTTCCTGGTGTCTATTATAAATGTTGGCCATGCAACCTTTGATAGGAGCCTCTCCATTGAGAGGACAGCAGAACAGAATACTGAGCTTCTGTGTGCTGGACTCTGATTCAGTAAAATGAAGGAGAGCATGAGGAAAATGAGCATTTCATAAGATGGACTTTCAAAGTTCTGCAAAGAAGGGAGGCTAGCCAGAGGAATTCGTGGCGTGAGAGTTATGCTCAAAGGGACTTCTCACACAGGACTCCATACAACAGTGCAGGTTCTTTGAAAAATGGAGTCTATACATGTTCTAAAACATGTCCCAGTGATTGGTGCTGAGAGGTGGGTGAGCCTTCTTCCACTCTCTCCCATTTGTGCTGGTAGCCATAGCGCCATCTACTGGTTTACACAGTGTGTTTGTTGGGCGTGTGTGTGTGTGTGTGTGTGTGTGTGTTGTTTTGCTTTTAATGCTCTGTCTCTCATCTTCTAAGTTTGTCCTAAGGGGGACTAACCGCAAACCATTTCTTCACCATTTCCTTTCTACAATGCAAAATCATTTGGCCCCTAGTCAAGGCCAAAGTTCAATATAAGTTCTCTTGTTTCAGGCTGACTTTTTAGCATTATACTAGTCTTACTTCAAAAGCATGATGTTTATTTCTTAGTCTTCTTTACAAAGCAGATGTGTTTGTAAATATTTCCTTGTCTGTCATGGACATTAGGTATATGTTGCTACCATATTTGATTGTACTGTGATTGAAAATTTCTTACTTTCAACTTTTTTCTCCATTGTATATACCATATACTAGACAGCATCCATCAGCTATATGCACAGTATGGAAAGACAGAATTCACCATTTGACCCAAAACATAAACACCTATACGGTAATAACATCTCCATCTTCTTCAGAGCGAATCCACTCGACCTTTGTACACACTTAATGAAGAGCCTTTGGAAGAATGGGCCGAGCCATCAATAATGCATGACCTATTTTGTGTTTCTTCAGGCTTATTTAAAATTGTGGCTTCTGTGTGTCAGAGTTCAAAAGTCAAGTGCTGCATGTGATAAATTAGGTTGGGGTCAAAAGTTATTGTCATGCAGTTTCGGAAGATGGTCTGTCTCCAGAATTGCAGCTCATTCATGCTGAAGTGATGCACTATGGGAATTACTACGAAACCCTGCTCTGCAACATCTGCTCTCCCTAAGTGAGTTAGTGCAGGTCGGACATCTTTATGTCAGAATATCACAGTGATGGATGCAGTCTTCAGAAAATGCTACATAAAAATCTGGTGTGCCGTTCTGGCCATTAAGTGAAATTACTATTTAAATTAATGGCACTGTCATGGTTTATCTGTGCAGAGAACGGACGCTGATTAGGGTATTAAGTAATTAGCAATTTATCACACTGGAACAAGGTTGATAATAATTAAAGAAGTAATGGTTTACCAAAGAAACTGGAAAGGGAGTCACTTCTTGTTATGTGAGTGAAATCTTGCCTGAAAAATTTCAATTCAGTAAAGCTCTTTGTCAAAGAAAGTATCCTTTTTTTTCTCCTCTCCTGGTATAAAAACAGTTCATTATCAAAATTTTAGTTGACCTGTCAAAAGTCCCTCAGAGCGATCAGATGACTGATTAGGAGTTTTGAATTAGGTCAATGTCTGCATTTTGAATTCATACTTAAAGCATGGTGAAGCCATGCAGTAATTTAAGAGTAGAGGGGGGAGAGAGTATTCTCTTCCCGAAAAGACCAGTTTTCGGATTTTGATTGCTCTTTAAAATGGAAACATGAAGAGTTTTAAGAAAATTACATGAGGAAAAAAAGTGACAGTCAAGAATCCAAGGTTGTATTTAAGTATCTAATCCAAAGGCAGCAGGAAAATATAGTCCAAGCAATAAGAGACCTAAAATTGTAGAGTTTGCTTTTATTTCTGTGTGCACGAGCATACAGGCACATGGACACACAGATGCAGGCATTTTACACGAATATATATATATATATGTGTGTGTGTGTGTGTGTGTGTGTGTGTGTGCCCTCACCCACTGTAATTAAGACTAGGCTACAATGAGAGCCCCACTGTGCATATTTTATTATAGAGAATGTGTTCTGTAAATATTAAAACAATAAAAATATCAATATAATAGTTTACTTTTCATTAATTTGAAGAGTTGTCACATTTAAATAAATCAACACGACATAGCAAATCTCAAGCCTCTGTGATGACCAGTATATATTATGCAATTTTTAGATGTTGGGAACTCTGTTTTGTAGTAGAAAGATCAGTGAGGAGACGCTCTGGAGTCCTGTGGAAATGGCATCTTCTGTGAGGCATACACCAGGGTGAAATCTACTGAATGATATTGAAAAAAATCTTTGAAAACTCTTTAGTCTATTGCTAAGAGTCCTATGCGTAACACAGGTGTTTGTACAGGACCAGATTAAACAATTCACGACCTGGAGCACTTTGAATTTGAGGTTCTTTATGTTATCGGTCAGGACTAATAACCAACAAACAGAACTCTAATTAGAATGAATCATTCATCGCCTTGCACTGCTGTCCAACCAGATGTAAATTCTAACCCACAGCATGGAGACATGACACGTGGACACATTCGTTTCTAGCCTAATCTGACACCAGTGTACCGTTTATGTGATTCGTGCTCTCATATCTAAGTTTCTATTTGATTTCTTCTGCAGCAATCTCTGGATGCCACGCATTTGATCACTGGGAGAAAGGAGTTTGTTGGTCGTTCAGGCGCATGAGTCTCACCCAGACATGAGAATCAGCATTTTCCCTAGAAGGTGTTTTGTAGGTGTCAGAGTGAGAGTGAGGCCCTGAAACCTTGTGGCTGGCGTCCTGCTTCTCTGTGAGGATGCACATACCAACTAGTTTTATCTTCCTTTGTTTTTTTTTTTTTTTTTTTTTTTTTTAAGACAGGGTCTCAACTATCCCAGGCTGGCCTCACACTCGCCCTGTAGCCAAGGATGACCTTGAACTTCTGATCCTCCTGTGATGCTGGCATCACAGAGTATACCACCACCTCCTTTATGCAGCTCTGACTGTGGCTCAAACCCAGGGCTTCGTGCTTACTAGGCAAAGACCTACCAAGAGGGCATCCTCCCCGACCCCTCAACTGGTGTGAGATGCCCAATCTAGGTCTTGGAAAAAAGAAGACCCGTGTTACTCCAGCTTTGCCAGAGACAAATTTTTACACCGCAGACAAAGACAGCTGGGAACGTGCATGTCTCCTACCAGGAGTTTCTCCAACTGGAACGTCGCTACCTTTCACTCTGCCTGGCCTCTTGTTTGAGAGCGCCTGGGTGACCTGGTCTCCCTCATGAATTTATAGACCTCTTTCTTTCTTTTAGTCTAGCCAAACTCCTTCTATAATCAGGTGTTATCATCACATTGCAGGCAGGCAGTTTTGACAGAAATCCGATTTTTTTTTTTTTTTTAATGAAGCACAGTCAGAGTCTGGACCAGCTGAATGATTTTCAAACAGTTCCTCTTGTGTGTTCTTTTCCTAATGAGTGTTTAGTGCTCTTGGTAAGAAGGACCCTCATTGCACATCTAAATCACCTTGTGGGAGAATGCTTCCTACCCTGTGTTGACCCACTGCTGAAGCTGCCCAATCTGACGTTTTTATACCGAACTTTACAGCAGCGTCAGTTTTCTTCCCTTTTAAATTCCTTACTCATATATAACATTTTACTGTTGCAGGGATGCTCTGTCGTGGGCAGGATTATGTGACTATGTCAGATACCATATGCTGCTCAGCTTCCAGTGGAGAGTCTAGAGTACACCCTAAAAAGAATGACCTGGTGCCAGTAAAATGCTGCGAGACTGAGCTTATTCCAGAGAACCAGCAATGCTGTAATGGAGCTGGATATAATCTTTTGAAATATGTTTGCTCTGACAAGATTTCAACTGGAAGGATGATGAAGGTAATTGATACAAAGCCTCTCAGAGGCGCTACTTTGACAATGAAAGGAGAAATACATTGTTCAGAACTATTTTTCTACAATAGGAATATAAAAACCCCAGTGTGCGTTATTCATTTCTGCTTCACATCCATATTAATACCGAATGAGTTTGCCATGATTGATGTTATCGCAATGAATTCTAAAGGAATTAGTAATGATTAGCTGTTCTCGGGGAAACGTCACCAGGCACTTCAGATGAGTAGAGGAGTCAAAGTCTGCATGTTTACAGAGTGAGCACTGTCCTCCCTGACATGCTATCTCCCATGCGTGCCACCTTTTCACAGCTCGGAGTGCTGTACCTGCACACTATGCACCTCAGTTTCCAAATAGATGGAATTTATGATCACCCAGGGAAAAAAAAAACTCTGGATGCGTCTGTGAGGGTGTTTTCTGGGGAGGTGATTAGGTGAAAACAGTTGCCCTTGGTGGACTTGGCTCTACTCCCCGGGCTGGGATCCTGGACTGAAATAAACACACCAGGCTGAGCACCAGCGTTCACCTCTGGGCTTCCTCACAGTGGACACAATGTGACCAGCTGCCTCCTGCTCCTGCCACCTTGCCTTCACTGTCATGATGGGTTGCACCTTCCACCTGTGAGCCTGAAAAGCCCTTTTTCCTTCCTTAAGTTGCTTCTGGTAAGATACTTTGTCACATCAACCAGATAAGCAAATAGAGAGACAGAAGGAAATTTTCAGTCCTTCCTTCTTGACCACCAACCCTTTGATAAAGCTATAGATCAGGCCAATCTCCTAAGCTGTGTTTGTATGGTGTTTCTTAAGACTGTACAAGATGAACAAGTTGTTTCTGTCTTCCACAACACTTACTGTGTGGTCCTTTGTGGTCATATGCTGTGACAGTTTCCATGAAGCCATGCTATGTTTGTGATCATGAAACTTGACCAAGAACTCTAGAAACCTGTTGCTTTAAGGGAAGAATTATAGTCATTTAAAAAAAAAAAAACACCCTACCCTTCTCTGGAGTGATTTGAAATTAAAACATACTTGAAAGTGGATACCATGGGCAAAGATAGAGAAAGGTCACTCACTAAAGGAAGCAAATACAGAAATCCTTATGTGCACGTTGGACACTCTGCATGTGCGGTAATTCTAGAGAGATTCAGAGCGCAAGAGGGTTCTTTGAGTAGTAAATGAATAAAATGATACATGAAATTGGCTGAGTAACCCTAAGCCTAACCAGTTACCCTCTGAACTTAACCCTAACCCAACCTAAAACATAAGTCATCCCATAACCCATCCCTAGACCTAACCCTAACCCTAAATGTAACCCCCAACCTAGTCCTGACCCTAACCCAATACACTAATCCTACTCTCAGCCCAATCCTAACCATAGCAATGACAAAATCGTAACCATAACCCTAACCTAATATAACAACAATCCAACCTAAATCCTAACCATACCCAACCCTAACCATAGCTCTAACCGTAACCCTAACCTCTAAACCTAGCCGCCTCCCCAATCCATGCCTAACCTTAATCCTAACTCAACATTAGCCCTAACAACCTTAACAAAACCCTAACCTTAACACTTATCTTTACCCTAACCTTTACCCTAAGCCAACCCTGACCTTAGTCCTAACCCTAACCTTAAATCTTACCCTACTCCAACCCTAACTTCACCTTTATCCTGTCCCAAGGATATTCCTCTCTACGTTGTAGGTAAAGCTCAGTTCTCTAGATTCCATCAACTTTCCCAAAGACCTCGCCCTTGAAAAACTCCAGGTTCTGTTCTGGTCTAGACAGGATCACTGAAGGATTCCTGCACTCCTGGCCCCGTGGATCTCCCCCGGCTATCATGGCAGGAATTTCTTCCATTTTTTGTTGTGTTGACCCAAGGTTCTATACCTCTAGGGTCCCTTCTTTAGGGGAACTTTCCTGGTTTCCAGGATCAGGGAAGATGGATTACTTGAGAGCTTGACATGTGGAATAAGGTCATTCACCATCCTGCTGGCTAGAAATACAATTCAAGATTAAAAACCATCCTCGTCCAGAATTTCAAAGCCATGTCTGTGATTTTTAGGCTTCCATCGATGCATTGATTCCTGTTTCTTTGTAGATAACTACATTGTTTTCCCCCAAAAGCTTTTGAAGATTTTCTTTTCCTTTTCAAAAATTTCATGAACATGTGCCTCTTGGTGGACTTAGTACAAGCAATGCTGATGTTCATTTCTTCCTCTTTGTGGTGCTGGGGATGCAATTCACAGTTGAGCACGTGTCCGGCAAACCCTCCATCAGCGAGCTGTGTCCCCAGCCTTAAAACAACTTCGGTTTTGTATGGTGTTTTAGTCTGGAGTTGACTGCTCTCCCTTCTAGAACATGGTATTTTGTTATTTATTTGATGTTTTGCTGTTCCTTTCATCTTAGTTTTTGCCTGTTAGTTGGGTCTTGGTCTTTGAAAATTTATTTTTCTTCTATCTGTGCCTTTTACTGGCTAAATGCATCATTTTTTATCTCTATGATGTATCACCTTAAATTTATCTTTCAACTTTTCTATTGATTTTTAAAAGTTTTTTTAGCTATCATTTTGTTTTAAGAAGACTGTTTTTGTTGTTTGAAGGCTTTTTGATGTTCTTGATTTATTTATAACACTAAATTCTTCATTTACAGAATATTTTAGGATTCTAATAGTATCAGTATGATTGCTTTTGGTTGGCTTGCTTTTGTTCTTGAATTGACTCATCTGCTTTTTTAGAACAACTTTATCCTTTTCTTCTCCTCCTTATTTTTTCTTTGCCCTGCGTTTCTTCTTTAATGCTTATAATCTCTTTCTGGTCCCTCAGACTTTCTATGTTTATTTTCTACATTTAATAGATTCTCTTGCTTTCATTTGGCTGGGCTTCAAGCAGACACAAAGATAAATATGTGCTCAGTGTGCCCCTTTTGAATAGATTTCCCACCATATTTTTCTGAAGCAGTATTATTTTGATGAAGTTGGAGAGAATCATTTAACCTTTTATGGCAGAGAGAAGAAAAATGATCAAAATTTGATAGTGAAAAGCAGTTTAAATCCATTATGGTATCTACATATAAGAAAGCAAAGCCAGTCCATGACTTACATAAATACTGCCTTATTCCTAGTTCCTGTAACTTAGGGCGATTACGTACTTAATTTCCTCAGATTAGAGTACTTACCAGTAAGTACAGAAAGTCCAGAAATGCCTCAGAGAAAGATTTATGAATGCAAATAGTTATAATGACAATAAATGCAATACTTAGTTTTCTAAAACTATTCCTCGTGTGTCTAACTTTTCATTGTTTAAATTTCATTACAGTTTTTATGTGTCTGTGTGTGTGCATGCACCCGAGCACATGTAATATGTCAAATACGTGCCCATATATGGAGGTCAGAAGACAATTTGTGCAGTCTGTTCTCTCCTTCCACCATGTGGGTCCTAGAGGTTAGACTCGGGCCATCGGGCTTATATGAAGCCCCTTTGCCTGCTAAGCCATCTTCCTGGTCCTGGGTTCACCTTGTCTAACGGCACAGAAATGCATTCTCAGATATCCCATTCTTTATTTTCTCCAAAATACTGTAGGAAAATATTAAAGCTCACAACAGAAATGACAACCGTTGAATTTGCCATGTATACACTAAGCTTAAGGTGCTTTCTGGTTTAGCTCAGTTGAGTTGCATAGAAAAAGCTTCTTCACAAATTTAGTTCCCGTCTCATCCAGTCAGGCAGCTGCTGGTCTGAGGGCATAAAGGAGTCACCCAAGTTTACAAAGCTAGGAAGTACAAAAAGTAGATTTTAATCCAAATCTGTGTCATTTCAAAGCCACAGCTCCTCCTTGTATGTGAACCTTTGTTCCTTAAATATTTTATTTATTATTTTTATGTGTATGAGTGTATTGCCTGCATGTGTAAGTGTACCTGTGTCATGCAATACCATGGAGGTCAGAAGAGGGTGTCAGATTCCCCTGGAACTAGAGCTACGGATGGTTGTTTACCACCATGTGGGTGCTGGGAATTAAACCCAGGTCATCTGCAAGAGCAGCCAGTGCTGTTAACCACTAAGCCATCTCTCCAGCCCCACAAGCAAACTATTTCTTCTTGATTTTGAAATATTCATCCAGAGAGTAAGCAAAACCATTTAAGTAACATGAGAATGTATCCTACATACACCTAAAGATAGGTTATAAGCCCTCTTGTCTCTTTGTATCCATCCCTTCCCACTGACAGGAAACCAGAGTATGTGCGACTCTCTGCACAGCATCCACAGAAGCCACAGCACGCTGTGGCCAGTGTGACTTCAACGCCGCCAGCCGTGTCTGTGTTGTGATAAGAGAGCACCCCGGTCTCACAGGGAAGGCGTCAATGGAAGGACTGTGCTCTTCTGTCGAAGAAACAGTTCATTCTGGAGGTGTAAACGTGCTCTCCTTCAGAGGTAAGAGACACGGTGTCTGCCCATGGTTGAACAGGCTTGTTGAGAAGTGGCTGATGATGCAAATGACATTTCACTCTGACATCCCTCCTCCTTAACCTCATGTCAATCAATTTCATCACACTTTTAGGCCAACTAGTTGCAAAGCACCTAGTTGCTGATAATGATATGATCTGAATATATTCAAAGCTAGCAGCTTAAAATGTTTAAGTCTATCCTTCAACAAAGATCTATACTAGTTTAAATTAAATCTAAACAGAATAAAGAACAAGAAATAAATAAGCGATGTGCCTCTTTCTGGTATTTTCAGTTGATTCTCAATAAATTTTCATTCTCAAAAGTTGTAAGATAATTTTCCCTCAGCTCAAAGAGTCAAGAGTAACAGACAGAGCCTAGAGAGACGGTCAGCAGTTAAGAGCACTGCTCTTGCCAAGGACCCAGTTCGATACTGAGCGCCCAAATGCTGACTGATAACTGTTCGTAAGCCCAGTTCTAGAAGATCTGACGCCCTCTGCTGGCTCTGTGTCATTGCATGACACAGGTGCACTTGCATACATGCAGACAAAACACTCATGCACATAAAATAAAAATAAATACATCAAAAATTTTCAAAAAAAAAGAGTTACAGATAGAAAGATTAATGAAACCTGCCTGATTACTTACAAAGTCCGTAAGCATTATTCTGCAGAGGGGTGACACTCAAGCATGGCATCTCCTCATGGTGTCCGTTTGTCCTCAGAACACTGACCTCCACAGCTATTATGATATTAACTTCTAAGCACCATCTTGGCTTTTGATTAAAATACGGTACCTAATACTTAGCACTGGCCAAGCTAAGTGAGAAGCTATATAAAGTTTAAGATTATTTCCAAATAATTTGGCTCTTTATTACATTTTTATTATGCATCTCGTTGCTCAGGTCTTTATAGAATGTATTTATGTGTGAGGGCAGGAAATATGCATGATGTACAGCCAGATCCATTTAAGAGAAATAATTCAAGCGCAATCTAGTTAAATAAACCAAACAGTACTGGGTCCACCATGAATCACTGTGGCTTACTCAACCAGTGGTGGTGAGCAAGTCATGCTTCAGGAAGGGAAAATGCCAGGCAGGATGTGGGAGAAGACAGGAAGCAGGACAGGGAAAGGAGGAGCAGAGGTCAAGTGGTGCTGGTCACTATTTAGTCTTTCAAAACCCTCCTGCCTACTGCCAAGGGGGTGTGGAGTATGCTCATGTGCAGATGAGGGAGCTTAGGGTCAGATCTGTAAAAGGAGTTGACCATGGGAAGGAAGATCCACACTGTGATGTTGTCTGAAGGAGACGGAGAAACTTCCACGTGGTCTAGAAGTTCCTTTCAGAGCACTCCACACCTCCCTCCAGTGCTGCGTCCACCTCCGATGGATGCCCTTCATCATCCGGCTCAAGTCCATGGTCTTTGATACAGACTTACCAAGTCAGTCAGTCACCTGTCCCTTCTACAGAACCCTGTAGTACTTGGCTTACAAAAGGTGCCTCTACTGTGTGGTCTGTGCACTTGACACTCATCCCATTCCCCCTGCTGGATAGAAGTGTTCTTACGAATAGTCTGCCTCTGCCTCTGCCTCTGCTCACTGGCATTTAGCACACTGCACATTAGCAAAAAGATACGCAGTGAAATGAATTTAATTGTGGAAGGCCTGGGATAGCCAACGAGGCATCCAGCCTTCCAGTCTCTTCCTCTCAGTTCAACACCACGCTCATGGACCCTCATTCTAAATGGTTGGGTTCCCATCCCAGAGAGTTTCCTGCCTTTAGCTGCCACCTGTAATCAAGGTCAAGATGTTGAAGGGCTTTTAAGACACACTTTCAGGAGCCCTCTCCAAGAATGAATAGATGTTCCCACCTACTGATGTAACATTATAAGAGATTTTAAAACCTACATTTCAGATTGCTTTGCCTGCCATAAAATGATATAAATTGAATATGAAAAACTAACTTTCTTTTATTTGTGGCACTACTATGGGTGGGACCCAAGAACTTCATAGTTTTGATAAGCACTGCACCACTGAGCTACAGCCCCAGGCCTGCCTTCCATTCTTCCTTCATTCCTTCCTTTCATTAACTATTTATTGAAACAGGGTATCACTAAATTGTTAAAGCTGTCTTTGATCTTGCTGTGTAGTCCAGGCTGACCTCGAGCTTATGATCCTCCTCCTGATTTAACCACAAACCTTACTTTCTCATGAACATAATTAAGCACACAAATGGTGTGATGACAGTCCTATGGAGACAATAAGTTACAGTAATTCAGATATTTAAAATTGATGTCTGACAACACTGGAACTGACCAAAATTCATTCACTCATTAATTTATCAAGAATATGTTTTAAGAGGCTAGGTAGAACACTTGCCTAGTATGCACAAAGATCTAGATTTGATCCCCAACACTATATATAACATATTTATTCATATATATAATACTCATTAATAGACAGCAATTGTATCAGCACCAGCAGCTATAGACAAGCAAGAATTTCCATCAGGGACTTGAAGTCTGTGTAAAGAATCTGCTTGGGTGACTTAGGACAGGATGTTGTAAGAAAGAATTACAGGAGTGAACAGCCTAACCCTCTGATGCTTTTGAGGAGTGTTGCAAGGACATCTGGTCCAGACTGGGAGGCTAGTCAGTGCCTGAGCTGAGAAGAACAAGCTGAAACCCATGGTTTTGAGTAAGGGAGGATGAGACAGAACACTCAGGAGCAAAAAGAGGCACCCTTTGTTGGAAAACAGCAGTGTCTCAGTACAGATGCTCAGGGTGATTAAGCGGCTGTACCATCTCAGGCCAAAGCCTGCTTCCTGCTTCCTGCCTGGATGAGCCCATCCACAGGAAACAGGAACAACACAGAAAGGCAGAAGATTGCCTCTTAAAAGTGATGCAGGAGCCAGGTGGTGGTGTAGGCATGTGATCTCAGCGTTCTGGAATCCAGGCAGGAAGGAGTGCAAGTTTGAACCACCTTGGGCTACAAAGCAATTTCCCAGCCACACTAGGCTCAATCATGAGACCCTGTCCCATCCACCCCTCCCCCTCACCAAAAAAAAATAGTTGTCCGTTTTTTCTCTGATTAGTGGGTAGTATCAGAATCATGTCACTGCACCAAACTGCTAAGAGAACTGGGAAACCAGGAGGTAGGGAAACCAGAGTGGAAGGAGATCTGGGGATGTTCTGGTGGTTGCCAGTGGCAACCAGTGACAGATGTCTTCTTAACCAAGACAATGGAGACAGAAGATCCTTGTTTTAATGAATTTTCTAATACCACAAGAAACTCCTAGGGAAAAAAATATCAGCTTACAAGGCTTGTGTGGGCTCAAGGTTTACAAGTTACACTCTAAGATCAGTGGCACTGTTCCTTTGGGGGTCTGTGTAGTAAGGCCACATATTTTGGCAAGAAGAATACCATGAAAGGATCTGCTCACTTTCCCACAGCCAGCAAGCAAACAGAGTTTCCAAGCCCCACTTCAAAGGAAAGTCTCTGGTGACCTAATTTCCTCTCACTAAGCCCCACCCCTAATGATAGCACCACCTCCCAATAGCACCACAGACTGTGGACTAAGCCTTCACCACCTGGCCTTGAAGGACATCCAGGTCCTAACTGTAATGCCTTTACATCTGTGGAGAAATTGATCCTCTGTGAAGTTTTGCCACATAGTGTGCTTGATTTTATTTTCTATTAATTCTATATTGTAGTTAGGGCAGAGTTTATCTTTGGAGGAGGCAAACAAGGAACTGTAGCTGAGGAAACAGACCAAATTAACGCGACATCCAGTGGAGGTAGAGCAGGCAGCCAGGCAGTAGAGACGTCCTCCCTGGTCCTCAATCTAACAGAGTCAAACAGAAACCAGAATTTGGAAGGAAAGAAAGAAGATTTAAAGTTTACAAAATTAAATAAATGGTAAGTACATTTAAGTAACTAAACTCTCAGGTAATTTTTTATAAAGGTGTAGAATCTATTCTTTTGAAGTTATTAAAATTAACATGTAGCTAAGACTTTGGGGATACCCCTGAACTACTCTGGTCATTGTCTCACAAAATTGTTGCCAATCAAAATGCTTAGTGGGTTGCACATGTATATGTGTACACATGCGTGTGTACTCGTGGAGGTCAGAGGACAGTGTTGGGTCTCTTCCTTCATGGTTATCCACCTTACTGTTAGAGATGGGGTCTTCCTCTGGACTTGGAGTGCACTGATTCAGCTCCCCTGGCTAGCCAGTGATCTCCAGGGATCTGCCTGTCTCTACCTGCACCTAACCACGCCCCCACCATTGGTGCTGGGATTACAGGCATCCACTGCTGAGCCTGGCTCTTTACATGGGTTCTGGAGGTGGAACTCAGGTCTTCCTGCTTACACAGAAAGCACATATGGTCTGAGCCATCATTTCAGCTCCTTAGTTGTTTCTTTATATACATTTCTGTCTTTGGAAATGGTGAATTCTTTATTGTGCAATTCATATCTCCACATCTAGTAAACGCTTAAATTTTTCATTTTTTATAAAATAAAGATACTCAAATTTTATTTATACACAAGTAAATGAAATCATTAAGCATTTGTTTTAAATGTTTAAAGATACATTAAGGGACTAGAGATATGGCTCAATGGTTAAGAGCATATGCCACCCTTCTAGAAGACTTCAGTTAGGTTCCCAGCACCCACTTTAGGCAGCTAACAACCACCTGTAACTCCAGTTCCAGAGGATCTGACATCCCCTTCTGGCCTCTGTGGGCATCTGCACACACAGCATACACACACACAGACACATGCACAAATACACGAATAAAAATTTAAAATAAGTGTTAAATGATTTTGACTTAAATTTGTAATGTTATGATTGAAAAATAAGAAGAAACCTCAAAGCCCACTCTCTGTTTCTGCAGATGCAAACCTTGAGCCCAACGCTATGTATGAATACAGAGTTTCTGTGTGGAACAGCTCCGGGCAAGGATTCAGTCAGGTGGTTAGAACCAGCACAAAAGAAGATGTGCTTCAAGGGGTCAGAGCCCCTTGGTGGACCAGAATGGGCCAACATGAAGATGCCATTTTCTTGAACTGGAAGACACCCCTACAACCTAATGGTATTAAGCTAGTTTTAAAATAGAAATTACCTAATTTTATAAATGCTTAAAATACAGGGTTGAGTGTAATATATACTGGCACACATCCATTCACTAGGAAGTATTTACTGTTTGAGTCCTTGCATGTGAGCTCATCATCCACCCTGTGCTACAGCCCTTGAACATTTGTAGCCAGAATATAAGTCATAATAATTAAAAGCTGCAGAATCCTAGCAGGTGTCTGAGCTGCTTGAAGCCAAGCAGAATATATTTGGGGAAGACAAAAATTCTATGCCAGGGCCTGGAAAGATGGCCCAGCTGTTAAGAGCACTGGCTGCTCTTGCAGAGGACCCAGGTTTGGTTCCCAGCACCCACATGGCAGCTAACAACAGTCAGTAACTCCAGTTCCAGGGGGGACTCCAACCCCTTCTTCTGACCTTCACGGACATTGCACAACATGGGTACACTTACTCATATGCAGGCAACACATTCATACATACAAATAAAAAAATAATAAAATATTTTTAAAAAGAATTCCATGACAGGGCTGGCTCAGCAGGTAAAAGTGCTGCTACTAGACCTCACACCCTGGGACCCACATAGTGAAAGGTAAAAACCAGCTCCCACAATTTGTCCTCCAACCACCACATATGTGTTGTGTCATCACACACACACACACAAATGAATAACTGTAATTGATAAGTTATGACATACATGTTTCCTAAAGATAGTTAAGATGGCACAACACAGAGGCACCATTTTCTCCATCATCAGGTGCTGTCATTCACTATATTCTTCTTCAAGATGGAATTGAATGCTGTCGGGGAGCATCGCTGAGTTTCACCGACACAGAGGGAATTCAGCCATTCCAGGAATATTTGTACCAGCTGAAAGTTTTTGCCATCGCCGGCTGTGCAGCCAGTAGCATTGTAAGTAAGAGGAATTCTTCCTCAATGGCGGGAAAAGGAGTCCAGGGTAAGGGATATACGAACATCCTGGTCATGATTGTTCCCTCCAAGTGGCACTAAGTAGAAAGTTTGTGTGTGTGTGTGTGCCTTTCACTGGGTGTTGAGATTTTTATCTAAAAAGACAGATCTTTGTCACAAAGATTTAGCCAAATATCAATGTTTTATTGATACAAAACAAAATCTTGAACCAGTATCAATGAGTCTTTCACACTCGTCCCCTATTAATTATTTCGGGGGAGCTGCTATCATTTCCCCTGGCCGACTTTATGTTGAGGCTTGGTCTCGTTGCATGGAACACAGTCAGTGCTCAGTACATAATGAACATCGGTGTCAGGCTTCACATTCTCAACAGGTGCAGCTCATCCGGGCTCACCAATGCTGATGCCGGAAGGAACTGGCGAACTTCATTCTGGTTCTGGGAGATACCAAGAGCTAGTGGTGACTTAGTGGGGCCTTAAAGACGAGGTTAGTCACTAGGCATCTTCCTGACACAGGGACTAATGGCCTCTTGTCTCAAGCAAATGAGTGAACTCTTGCACTCAGGACAAGACCAATGACATTAAAATAGGCTGTTCTAAGGCCTCTTTCCGTGTTCTTTCATTTTTACACAAGCCACTTGCCCATCTGTTTTACAACAGCCCCCAACCCATGCAACCACCCAGGCCACAGCTTCCCAGCTTCTAGAACAGAAAGCTGAAAATTGAAAGCTTTTTTCTTTATAAGTTTTTCAGTCGTGGATACTCTGCTACAGCAACAGAAGTGAGATTGTGATAGTCTACAACCCATAAAAGCCCCAAAGTGCTCTTTAGTTGATAAGAATTTGCACTTAATTATCATGTCCTCAAAAATTGCCTGTTCTTAATAATATTTTATTACCTTTATTTTATGTGTATGTGCGTATTGCCTGCATGTGTATAAGTGCATCTGTGTCATGCAATGCCCGAGGAGGTCAGAAGAGAACATTGGATCCCCCTGGAACTGGACTTAGGAATGGTTGTTAGCCACCATGTGGGTGCTGGGAATCGAACCCAGGTCCTCTGCAAGAGCAGACAGTGCTCTAACCACTGAGCAATCTCTCCAGCCCCTTAAAAACTGCCTCTTCCTCATAAACAGAAATGGACAAAGAGTGTTGAAAGTCTGGGCTCAGGCACATGGGATCAGAATGCAGAATACCAGGACAAGTACAGTGCTTGCCTCCCATGCACCAAGCCCAGGGCATGAGCACAGTAACTCATGTCTCGAATCCCAGAACTCTGGAGGTGAAAGCGGAAATACAAAGCAGGAGTTCAAAGCAACATAGCAAGTCTGAGGGCAGCCTGGGCTACATGATTCCCTGACCCAATAAAAGAACAGAAAGGTAAAACAGTGCAGGTGATAGCGTGTACAGAATCTGATGTGAACTCTATGTAGAACCAGCAGGTGTGTTCAACCCATAGTCATACACCCAGGGTGTCAACAAATGTGACCCAACCTTGAACCGTAAAGGACTTAAAACATTAAGAGACTGGTTTTTGTAATTTTTAAAACTTGATTCTGTGGTTCTCAAGTATGAGCATTGCAGATGAGTGTTAGTCACGATGTACAAAGGTCAGACACCCCTAACAGGAGTAAAGAGGCATGTGTATTTTCTTAAAAAATATTTTTATTATTATTATTATTGTTATTATTAATTATTTGTATGAGTGTTTTGCCTGCTTGTATGTAAGTGCACCCATGTCCTGCAATGGCCACAAAGGTCAGAAGAGGATGTCAGATCCCCTTGAACTGGAGTTACATATGGTTGTTAGTGGCTATGTGGGTGCTTGGATTTGAACCCAAGTCCTCTACAAGAATAGCCAGTGCTCTTCTGAGCCATTTCTTCAGCCCAAATCATGTGTATTTTCAAGAGTATGGGGTCAGAGGATGGTGGATCTGTCAGTCATGGTGCAAGTCTAAACAAAAATGCTAAAAGAATAAGATTATCCCTAACTTCTCAAAGTTAAGAGCAGAAGCAGGTAGCAGGTAGTGGACGCACACGTCGTCGATCATTTTAAATGAAAAGGTCTAACGAATGCTAGACCAGGTGCCTGGGGTTTGCTAGAAAGAAGTTAAAACAGTAAGTACAAACGTGATCAGCAGAGGAACTAAAGATTCAGGAACTGACACCAGAGGTGACAGATGATGGAGACGCTACGAGTGAAGGAGAAAAGCCCTCGGACGAGACTGGGAGGAAACCGAGCGAGGGAGGAAATGAGTAAAGAGCCACTCCACAGAGGCCGCCTCAGCAGCAGCTGGGGAATCATCCCAGCATCAGACCCACTGGATGCTCTCCGCACAGTTAGGACCTGAGAAGAGCTGGGGAATCATCCCAGCATCAGACCCACTGGATGCTCTCCGCACAGTTAGGACCTGAGAAGAGCAGGGTCTCCACACGCTCTTAAGAACCACACAGCACGTTAAGCCAGTTTCCATCTACACGTGTGATTTTGCTCAACAGATCCCCAGTAACAGCTCTGAGCCTGCCTTCACGCAGACAGACGGAGGCGGATTGGGCCAACTGAAAGTTATGGTCCGAATGGTCTCTGAACAGTCCCATGGTTTTTGCATAACAGGGCCAGTGCCTACCGGATGCCAGAACAATTGGTTAGAAAGTGAAATCAGGGGCTGGAGAGAGTTCAGTAGTTAAGAGCACCCGCTTTCCCTGCAGAGGACCAGGTTGGTTCCCAGCACCGACGGGAGGCTGACAACTGTCAGTAACTCCAGTCCTAGGGGCTCCAACGCCCTCCTCTGGCCTCCATGGGCATCGCACAACACCAGTGCACTTAGATTCATGCAGGGAAAACACTTGTGCACATAAAATAAAAATAAATATTTTTTGAAGTTAAATCAGAGTTAATTCTGTGGAAAAAAAATCAGAGCAGCAGTTTTTATCTAAAATTCAATTTTGACATCCTTGACTCAGTAACTTGTTGATTTTTCTTCTCACTTGGTTCTTTTTCTAGAACATCGATGTAGATAGTACACAGTCCTCTTGGGGGTCAGGGACAGAACACAGGAAAGTCTGCCCACTTACACTGCTCAAAGCATGTTCTGTGCACACAAGTTCAGATGTCGGTTCTGCTCCATATTTACTGGTGCTTAATTTGTACAAAATCAGGCTGTTAAAATGCAAAGACACTGAAGGGCCATATGGAAGAGCGTTCTCTAGGAAGACAGTCTGCCAGGCGGGTTGTACTTATTTAAACGAAGGGCTGCACTCTGCCTTCAAAATTGTTGTTGAACTTGTTGTGATAGATGGTAGTTGAAGACTTAGGTAATGTATTCAAGGTCAGATTTCATTGTTTAAATAGGGAAGAATAAAGGGGGGGAACTGCGTCTCCAAGCCCTTGCTAATTATGTGCCAGGTCCGACAGCAACGCTCTAAAGCAAAAGTGACATTTTCATTGATCAGGATTCCTAGTGGACGATGACAATAAATTGCTATTTAATTCCCGTGCTCACAGGTAGTTGCTGATACCACCAGAGGTGTCCCGGAGAGTGTCCCGCCACCAAACATCACTGCCCAGAGCACAGGGATACCGCAGCTGCGCTGGAGTGTCCCAGAGAAACCCAAGGGTGTCGTTAAAGAATACCAGCTCCAGCTAGATGGGAGAGGACTCATCTACACTGACATTGGTGACAGGAGGCAACATACGGTCACAGGTGACAAAACAGGAGACCTACTGGAGGCGGCTGTCATTGCAGTGGGGGGGGGTGAGCCTCCCAGGGGTGTGTGTTTGATGTATGAGGTCACTTCGAAAGGACATGTTCTCTTGACATATGGTCAGGTCCCACTTATCCATGCTAATAGAACAACCCACACTGGCAGCAGTACGCCACAACAGCAGATAACTTCAGAAATAATTTATATTTGGCTTTGATATGCAATGCGTACAGGGGGTTTGAATCACTATTAACTTTTTTTTTTTCAAACAAACAGTACAATGTATTTTCATTCCCCCAAGGATATATTCAGAGATAATGGAGCTAGGACAGCCGAGAAAGGACTGAGAAGCAAAGGAAAACCACCACAGGCTGACCCTGGGCTCCAAAGTGAATACGTAATATTCAGCTCCTTGACAGCTGACTGGTTGGAACTATTTGTTATTATTTCTGTTAATTAATAGTGATTGTGATTGTGTTTTATTATGTGTTATAACATTGTCATAATTAGTTTTAATATAATAGTAGAGTACGCTAGTACATTGTTAGGTCATCACTCAAAGTGAGTATAATAATGAACATGTTTAGCATGAATGTTTCTTTTGAAGAAGAAAGATGTATTTTCTGATTTTCCATCCACAGTAGCTTCTCTAACACACTAGAATTTTCCCTTGTTTTGCTTCAGTCATACACTTCATACACCTTGATAGTTTAGGATTGGTGGTTTGGGGGATTGTTTTTGGCTCCCCCACATGCGAATGCAGTTTCTAAGAGAACGATAATCTGATTGCCGCAAAAGAGCAGGGACCTGGCCCATCTGTCAGTGCTGTGCCACTAACACCTCGCCCCATCATTAGGTCAATAGGAGCTGATTAAATTCGAGGACTTAGTAGCTACCAAATACTGCCCTATAAACACTCGGCCTGCATAAATTCAAGTCTCATCTCAGCCTAAGAGTTAGAATTATTGCCTCTGTTTTATTGGAAAGACTATTTTGGGAGATTAAGCACGTTTGTTCATTATCGAGGTTGATTCTGAGACTACATTTAAAATTTTACGAACTTTTATTTTTTCTTGCATTGTTCACATGCCCCCTTTAAGACCTCTGGAGCCAATGACCTTCTTCCACTGGGGTCTGGGCTTTTAAGAGTGTTGGTCACTAGATGACAGCACATACAAAGAGAGGCTAAGAAAGACAGGTGTGGACTTTGAGGACACAAAGTTTATGATGCACCGATGGAAAGATAACTTCACGGTGCTTTGTTCTTAAATTCCGCCATTTTCTGCCGTCTACACAAGCATCTGTTAACACAATCGCCAGCATTTTTTGAAAATTACCACAAGCCCTAGAAAGATGCTTAGTATTTGTTTGCACACCTGCACCCTGAATCTAGGGCTAACCCAGCTGTGACCAGGATGAGGAAAGTCCTCATCAGGCTGAAAGATCGAACTGACTTCTTGTATCTCATTTCATTGGAAGTGAAGAGAGCACAGTGGTTGGAGAGCATGGCTTTGTAGAACACAGGTTTGTCTGTCTGTACCTATGGCTTTGTCATCTGAAAGAACTGTTTGCACCCTGATTCATTGCCTTGCATCACAACTCCGTAAGTGAGGGATGTTGTTAATAACCATGTTTAAAGATGAAGAAAGCTAACCTACTCAGGGTGTTCACAGCATTTACTGTCTCCATCACACACACACACACACACACACACACACACACACACACACGTGAGTTGCCCATTATCTATATCTAGGATCTAGGTAGTACTACTTTCTGAAATAAGATTGTGACCCGGGGAGATGGCTCAGTGGCTCAGTCTGTAAACTGAGGGCATGCTACGCAAACCTGAGGGTCTGAGTTCAGATCCCCAGCACTCACATCAGTCAGTCCCTGAGGCACGATAGCATGTAGGATTCCTGGAGCTCAGTAGCCAGCCAGCCTAACCAAATCAGTAAGTTCCGGGTTTAGTGAGGGACTTTGTCTCAAATCAGAAAATAAGATGGGAAGTAGTTGTGGAAGATATCCACTACCAACTTCTGACCTCTGCAAACACAGGCACGGGTGGCTGCCATGCCCCCCCCCCCCCCCGCCCCGTCTCATATAAGCACATATATGTACATAACACTACAAGTGTAGTTAATTAAGATCGTGGCCTCTAGGAGCTCTCATCGATAGGGAGGGCTGACAAGTACCGGGAGGCTGCTGCTGTGGTACAGCGGGTGCTGGAGCAAATACCAGTTCTGAACACTGGGAGTAAAACCATGGAATGGCAGTGGACTGAGAATCAGAAAGCAGCTTGAGCCACATGGGGTCCAGTGCCAGTTCACACTGGCTTCAGCTTAGAGGCAAAGCTTCAGAAGCTTCACCCCTCGTGTCTGTCTCCCTCACCGCACTGGCCTTGAACTGGTGCCAGCTGTACTGGTTTGTGTTAGAAGAAGCAGCTATCTATCAGCAGACCAAATTCAGTTCTAATGTACAAACCCACAGGATGGATGACCTCATCAATTATAAAATAATTGCAGAGTTCTTTCTTTAAATCCCTTCATTCTGCCAACTCTTCCTTTCTCTGTCATTCTTAATCAATATTTTCATGTCAAAGAGGAATTTATATATACGCACTGGTGCCAGAAATCCTCTCATTAAAATAAATATTTTAAAATTCTCCCACATAATTTCAACCTTTGCAGAAATCACAAAGAAGATACTTCTTTTTTCTTTTCTTTTTTAATGTTTTTTAAAATTACTTTTGGTTTGGTGGTGGGGGGTTTGTGTGTGTGTGTGTGTGTGTGTGTGTGTGTGTGTGTGTGTGTGTGTATGTGTGTATGTGTCTGTGTGAGAGAGAGACACGGTCTTTTTTCTGTACAGCCTTGGCTGGTCTGGAACTCCCCAATCAGTCTCCGACGGTCTCACAAGTGCTGATTAAGGACACACACGCCATCCACACCAAGTCTGGGTTTTTTTGTTGGTTTTTTTTGTTTTTTTTTTTTTTAATGAAATCCTTTTTATCTAGTTATTTTATTTTCTCTATGTGTTATGCCTGCATGTATGTATGTATGTATGTATGTATGTATGTATGTATGTATGTCTGTGTCATCAAGCAACCACAGAACACAAACGAAGGTGTCAGACCCCTGGAACTGGAGTTACGGACTGTGTTCAGCTACCATGTGGGTGCTGGGACTCGAACCCAGGTCCTTTGCAAAAGCAGGCCGTGCTCTAACCACCGAGCAATCTCTCCAGCCCCTTCTTTCCTTTTAATAAGATTTTAATAATCCTTTGGGAATTTCCTACAGTATATTTTGGGCATATTGACCCTGCCTCTTTGGAGCTCCTCCCCCAGATCCACCCTCACCTCCCTAAGCACCCAGCATCCAACATCCTGTCCTCTTTTTTTTTTTTTTTTTCCTTTATCTAGTCTAATTTGTGTTCCAGACACTCTTGGGTGTGAGGCCAGGCCAGGCCAGTTGCACATATGACAGCACAGCATGCACGAGACCTGCTCACGTTCAAGTCAGACAAAATCCCAGCATGGACAGGGAGTTGGGCTTAAGTCTCAGCCCTAACTGAAGAACTATTGGCCATTGATAGCTGCTGGGGAAAGGAGAGTTTGTTTTCTTTAAGTGTGTGACCCCTGACAGGTGCTCCGAACCCCAGGGACTGGCACCACAGCCAGGAAAATGCTGCCTTAGAGGTCATTTGATCCAGGCATCTGTCTTAACTACAGTCAGAGAATTTTTTCACTGGGTCAGTAGAGCCCTCGAGAGGGGTTTTTCTTTGTCGCAGGAGGAAGTGAACCTTCCGTCACGAACACTTGACCAAGCTCAGAGCTTCCTGTTACTGTTCCAGGGGATCAGGAGAGGTGCTAGGCAAAGCGGCCCCAAACCCAGGAAAGCTGCAGCCTGATGGTTTCCTCTTCCAGGGCTTTTTGGGTGCTGTGGTCAGCTGACTGACAGGATGCCTTGCGGAAGCGTTTCATGATGCTTTGAGTATTTTATTGAGTTCATAGCACGAAGGAAAACACTGCAGTGTACATACATCCCAGCCTATCTGGTTGTTTGTGGAAGGAGCTGCGTGAGGCCCCGGAATAAGTGTTTAGATGTTCTAGTCATTTCTGAACTCTCAGCACTCCCTGAGCAGCTAATGAAGCTGTAGCTAGCCTTTCTGGAGCCCGAAGAACTGAGGTCCAGGGATGGCAGGAGGCAGACCCAGCCCCTCGCCTCCGCATCGCTGTCTCCGTGCTTACTTTTAATTACCTCAAAGCCTTAGAAACATGATCCGGTAAATGCTTTGTGGGAATAGCGGCGAATGCACTCATCATGCGGAATCCATAAATTGCTTATAATCCTCTCAAGATGTTAAAAAAGCATTAAGTAATTGAAGACAGGAAGTCCTCGGTTAATTATTTAGAGGTGTTATCAATGCTTTAAGTAAACTGAAGCGTTTTTCTGCTATCTCCCCAGCCAAGCCCCGCGGGGCCCAGGAGGCGGCAGCTCCCTAGGTCTCATATTCACTAATGCAAACAGCGCATGGCAGCTTGTCAATAGACCTTTCCAGATCGGTTATGACTAAACACATCCACTGTCCTGCACACAACAATTTGGAGTCAGTTATGTCTTCCTTTTGCTTTGGGTTACCATGACTTTACAGGCCAGCCTTCTAACATGGCTTAGGGGTGGAGGGCAGGGTGACAGGATTAGCTAAAAAGTTGAGCCCTCTGAGAAAAGTGAGTGGATGACTCCACCCTCTTTAGCAGTAGGTTTGGTAATGGCCTGTGTGTCTCTAAACTCTGCATAACCTGTTTCCAAAATAATTAACCACAAGTTGTTCAGGAATGCATTAGGCTCAGAAGGAGAGTCCCATTAAGTCAGCAAAGAAGAAAGAATTTGCCTTCCTCTCCCATCTTCTTAGACATTACTCAGAGCCTTTTGTGTTTGATAACACAACTCCTAACAGTTCTGTTTGTAACAGAAAGTATAAGATCAATGCTGTTCTGAAG